GCACATAAAATGTTTCACAATTTTGGTGTAACATGCTGCGCGCGCACCCTGCGCACCCTGAATTTCCAACACTGCTTACCCCTAGATTCTACTAAAATTTTAAATGTTGATCATTGCAGTATTTAGAAATTCCATATCGAGTAAAATACTTGACTGATATAGTGCAGGACACCTAGTCCCTATATATCATTACTACCTGTGTGATGCAATTTATCAATTTAACTTATTACACACCAAGGAAAGGATTGAAAAGTTTTCTTTTTATCCAATTAAAATATAGAAAAATACATAATTATTAAAGATAGGAACCATTTTTATTAAATTGTTGTTATATTAAAATAAAATATTGCAAATATTTATTAATTTTTTGCCTTTTGAATATCTTGTTCTTTGATTGGTCTCTCAATTTTAAAAAACCTACAAAGTGAACATAAAATTATATATACAAATATAAATATACATATGATTATTGTATTTTTTAATCAATAATAGTTTTTATTCTTTATTTTTAGGTTTATATTCCATGTCCGCGTTGCATTAGTTTTAGCACATGATTAGGATTTTTTTTAAATTTGCTTTTTTTTTCTCAAACAATTATTTATTTTTACAATTTGTAACATTATTATTATTTATAATTAAATAAATATCACACAATAAATCAAAATTTTAAAATCATTGTCATTTACATTTTAAAATTATTTGAAACCGTTTATTAAATTATTCTCGTATCTTATTGTAGTCAAAAAAAAAAAAAATTTTCAAGTTAGTAGGTATCTCTTTGATGAAGGAATCAGAACCAATCATTATAAAAAGATTTGATGGTTTTATGATATTACAAAATAAATTAAAATTTCTATGTTTACAACCACCAGGAACATTACCATGTATACCAAATTATTATTATGATAAAGATGGCAAAGTTGAATTATCATTATTAATTATGATTACACTGCCACTGCTACTGCCAACTATACTACTGCCGCCGCCGCTACTACCACCGCCATTAACAATGTTATTATTATTGGATTCTGATGAAATTTCGTTAAATCTCCAAGCTTGAAAATAAGAAGGTTTAGACAAATCAAGCTTGTAACGATAATTGGTTTCATCGTCATCGACTTCATTTTCAATGTCTTCATCTTCACAAACGTAATACTCATTGTCACTATCAAAGTCATCGTCACCATCATTGTTAATAATTCCAATCCGCGTATCATTTAAAAAAGACTTTTTATTTTTTTGCTTAGCCAACCTAATCATAGATTCTCTGTGTGAAGATAATTGTATATAAGGTATTTTCCTATGTTCTAAATTAGGAAAATATTCAATTTTATTGCCATTTATAATGTCTGGCCTGTCTCTTACCCAATTTACACTGTGTATGGCAGCTCTAATGTGTGAACACGCACCACCCCATATCAAATATCTCATACAATGACAATTAATCTCTGGCAACAACTGTACAACGTAATAATCCATATCAGGATTGCCAGGTACATGCTCTAGATTTTTTTGACCAGTTTTGATGGTGACAAATAAATATTTATCAAGACTAAATTCAATAAAATCAACACAATTGTTATGAATAAATCTGGATGCTTCTATGTCTTCATATTTATTAATATCTTGGAATGCTATTGTGTTGATATTTCTCGCTAAAAGCTCCCTTAGTTGACCCTCTTCCAACATATTCCCGTCAATATATTCCTGCAATGGTTCCTTTTCTTTATCCAATGTTTCTTTTATATAGTTCCATAATTGATTTTGCATCTCGCATAATGGAGAAATGTATTTGGCAAGTATTGCACAAAGTGTATCCATACGTAGCACATTTCCTCTTTGTTGAAATCTTAGAAATCTAGTTGGTTTAAATAGTAATTTAAAACCTTCCAAATAAGCATCAGTTGTTGGTATTTTTAATTCATGAATAATACTTTCTCTAGAAGAATAAGCCCAAAATCGCATTTTATTTATATCCATCCAATCATTTCTAATATATTGTACAAATTCCAAAGCTCCATTCAATATGATCAACTTTTTAACATCTGATCTATATGTGCTAATATCAGACTGCATTTAAATAAAAATATATATTAAATAGTGCTTTGTTAATGTTGTAAAGAAAATTTTTTTAATATTATAAAAAAAAAAACCAAAATTTACATTTGCAGACTGTTCAATATCAAATAGTATTCTATTTACTTCATTCTCACTTGACATTCCTTTTAATAACCTAAACACTTTATTTCAATTCTTTTTCTTGATAAAAAAAAAATCAATTACTACAAATAAAAATAATTTACTTACTTTCCTAATTCATCATTAATAAAATTCTTCTTATCTTGATAAATATTATCATCATCTGTACCAAATAATTGATTTGATTTATCTAACCAACATTGATGTACTATATGAGCAGAATATAAAACTCGTGCATTAGTATGCTCCCAAACTGAAGAAACTGCAAGATGTTCCTTTAGACTTGCTCCAATGATAATGACCTTTTAAATAAAATTTAATAAGCAAGTTATTAATTAGTTGGTACAAAAAAAAAAGGGTTGTTTTTTTTTTATACCTTTGGAACAAATTCTCTTTTACACTCAAGACTTAATTTATTTTTATATTCTAGTAAAAGATGCTTTAATATTTCAAGTTCATGATCATCATTATGAATTGTAGGTTTTTTGTATAATAAATATCCTACTGGAATTCCTCTCCCAGATTCATCAATTACAAAAATGACATATAATTGTGATTTTTTATTCCCTGTTGAAAAATTACCATCTAAAATAATATAATTATTTTGACCGTATTCCATTGCTAAAGCCAACTGTTTGTGTGTTGCTAATACCATTTCCACTTGATTATAAAGTTTACGCTGATCTTTTGATGTGGTGTAAATAGTTGATTCATATATTTCAGAATCTTTAGAACAATTCTCATCATAAATTTGATTTAAATTGTAGCTTACGGATTTATTTATATCTAGCTTCCAAGAAGTTGCTTCGCTTTTCGTGGACATCAACAATGAGCGTCTAGAATCCAAAATATCATATAGTGTTATTAGAAAATGTTCACCTCTCAAGTCAATTCTACTACTTAGATGATTTTTCATCAAATGTTGATTGATTGAGATGATTTCTTTAATGGAAAAGTTTGCCTTGACCATTAATTCAGTCATTGCTTTGACCAAAGGATTGATTGTTAAAGTTGGACCTTCAATTTTTGGTATTCCACGGTGACATGCTTCGGAATGGTCTAGATAACCATGTAGACGTCTGTATTTGGTGTTAGTTTCATCAAACTCAAGCTTAACAAAAGCCAAACAACCAACAAATTCATAGATTTGTCTAAGTTTTCTTCGTTTATCGGGAGCAACTTTATTAAAAGCATTTTGTTTATCAGTTCCACAAGCACATTGATACAATATTTTTTTCCCGTACCTATCATTCTTATCGGACCATCTTGTCTTCCAACGTCTAGTGGAAGATTCAAGAAGTGGTTGAATTAAACCATGGTAAGTTAGAAATTCATTTGCTTCCTCTTGCTGTTCATCAGAGTCATCCCAAAATTTTGTTTCAAAATAATCTTTACTGGTAAGATCTTTTAATTCCAATAAATGATACAATTCTTCTTTTTGTTTTGGTGTTAATATCAATTTACTTGTTGTTAATTTAGGATTTACACGAAATTTATCCATTTTTTTTTTTAAAAAAAACAATGGTTATTATTTAGGATATTTTTTGGTGCGTTTAAATATATGATTAATTGAAATACATTTAAGGTTTTGGGAACCATTTTAATCTCTTAGATTATTTGGATATAAGAGTCGTTCTCGCTCGTTTACTCCTGCTCTTTTTTCTCTTTCTCTCCTCTCTCTTGCTTTATTTCCTCATTTTTACTCGTCGATTGCTTGCTTCTTACTTTCCTCGCTCACACTTGCCGTATGGTCACATCATCTAAAGACATCTAAAAAATTGCCAATCTTTAAAATACCAAGGTTCGAAAACCATATATGGAAACTACAAAAACAACATTACATTATTGCCTAGATTAAGAATTGCAAAAATAATGCGGAGTTTTTTAATAAAGGAAGAGTTATAAAGGTTTTAAAGTTAATATAAATTTCGTGCAATACAAAATTTAGATGCGCATATTTCGTCGATCAAATTATAAATTGTCATATTGCAACAAAACCAGACAAAGTGAACATTGATATTGCCAGAAATTTTTATGTATATTTTTGCATAGTTGATGAATTTAGGATGTCTAAAATTTTGGGTCAAATATTAATATAAACCGAAAAACCGAATTTTCGGTTCGGTTTCGGATTGGAGTGTCATTTTTATTCTTTGGTATTAATCTTATTCACAAAATATGATTCAATTTTTATAGGAATAGCAAAAAATTTCAGGCAATTGCAAGAAATAATAATAATACCAAATCGGGTCTGGGACACTCTACCAACACCTAATTTACCGACAGGACACTTTACCGACAATCAAAGTAAAGTCGAACTTGACGTAGAAATGGTCTTGCGAGGAACACCACGACCCCCACAGAAACCACAAGATCG